GTCTGTCTGTCTCTCTGTCTGTCTGTCTGTCTGTGTCTGTGTCTCCGTGTCTCTGTGCATATATATGTCATGGAACCCCGTGTGTGTGTGTGTGTGTGTGTGTGTGTGTGTGTGGGTGGGAGAGGGAGCTGACCCAAAACTGCTGATGTGACTCAGAAGCCACTTAAGCAAGCTTCCACTCCCTCTGCCTCTCTTCTGCCCACAACCACTGGAGGAGTTGGAGGGCAGCTCACAGACTGAATCCCCATTGGCAGAGAGGGTGATGAGTGGGGCATTAACCTCGGGGCGGAGTCTCTGACAGCGCTAGCCTAGCAGGGCAGCTGTAGTGGATATTATGTATGGGCACTTCTCTAATCACAAATCCTGCTGTTCCTTCTGTCTGCTATGTACTGTATTTGTGGTTTTATTAAAACCTGCTACATAATATATTGCTGTGATTTTGCTAGCTTAAAACAATTTGCAGGTCAGGAATTTGTAAAGAGCAGCAAAAATGGTTGGTTTCTGTTCCTCCATGTTTGGGTCTACCTCTGGGAAAGCATAGGCTGGGAAAAGCTGAGAACATCTTTAGGGTTTAGGGTTAGGATTAGGGTTAGGGTTAGAGTTAGGGTTCCACACACATATCTTAACAGTGGTTGGAGCAAGAATCTGGATGGTTCGTCCTGTTGTATAGGTTCCCCCATCCCACCATAGACATCCTACAACCCCACCCAGCTTAAAGGAGAGAATAGCCAGAGCCCAGGTCTTGGAGACATGGCTAGCTCCCAATCAAACATGTAAGATTAATGTCACTGTGCGTCTTTGGAAAATGAACAGCTCTGAGAATGGCTTTTCCCTTAAACCACTACAGTTCTACTAGGTATCCTTGTTCCCCTTCCTAGGAATGAGGAGTCTAGTCTTTGAAGGAAGAAGTAATGGATCCCAGATTCATCAACTAACATGAGCAGGGCAGGAATCTGAGCCCCAGTGGTTCAAAGAGTTCTGACTTCATATTGCCATAGGTATCCTGAATGATGAAAAAGAAAAAGAAAAAGAAAGAAATCCTCCCTCTTGTGGCTCTTGCAGCCACACCATATGTGGGACACTGTTCTGAACATATTTGTTCTTTTCTTCATTGGACAAAATAATTGCTGTTATTTGTTGAGATTACTCTGTGCAAAGACTTGTTTTGCAGTAGGCCTCTTCAGTCTTGAACAGAGCCCTCCAGAGTCAAGGATGTGTCTGTCTTATAACAGAGGAGACAGAAGGGAGAAGCAGCCCTGCTAGCTCAAACTCCCAATTCTAGGAATATGGGCATCTGGGAACCTGCCTGCAGTTTTCCAACAAGAGAAGGGTACAGGTGGTGCGCATGGGAAAGGCTATTGTTTGTGCAGAGTGTTGAGGGGTCTGAGGCTCCTTTGCAGAGGTATAAACTTGTCTAAGGAAGAATGTTCCAGTGTTAGTGATGCCTGCGCAAAATAGGAGACAGAAGATTTCTGTCTCACTTGCAATTGTTTTAAAGGGGTGTTTGGTTGTGTGTGTGTGTGTGTGTGTGTGTGGTTGTGTGTGTGTCTGTCTGTCTGTCTGTCTGTCTGTCTGTCTGTCTGTCTCTGTCCGTGTCTCTGTGCATATATATATATATGTCATGGAACCCCGTGTGTGTGTGTGTGTGTGTGTGTGTGTCTGTCTGTCTGTCTGTCTGTGTATGTCTGTCTGTCTGTCTGTCTGTCTCTGTGTCTTCATGTCTCTGTGCATATATATATCATGGAACCCCGTGTGTGTGTGTGTGTGTGTGTGTGTGTGTGTGTGTCTCTGTGTCTCCGTGTCTCTGTGCATATATATATCATGGAACCCCGTGTGTGTGTGTGTGTCTGTCTGTCTGTCTGTCTGTCTGTCTGTCTGTCTGTGTCTGTTTCTCCATGTGTCTGTGCATATATATGTCATGGAACCCCGTGTGTGTGTGTGTGTGTGTGTGTGTGTGTGTGTGTGTGTGTGTGTGTGTCTGGTGGT